AAAAAAATGCACATTCTGACGATGAGATTTATAAGCACCAGGAGACTCTTTAAAGCGCGATTCAATTGAAACGGCCTTTTGCATAAGTTGATTAACATTGTGAAACTCATAATGGTCAAGCTTTTCTCTAATACTAGAACATAAACTAGCAAATCATAAATCAGTTAAATCTCTTTCAGAAATATTTAAATGGAAACATCGGTTCTTAATCTCTCTAAATCGTTTGAAAAAATCATGGACGGACTCATCACGCCCTTGACGAACCGATGCAAGATGAGACAATCTTGTTTCATGAGCACCGCTATAAAAGTGATTATGAAATTTCTCTTCTAATTCAGCCCATGAACCAATAGAACAAGATGGTAATGAAGTAAACCATGCAAAAGTTGTGCTAGTAAGAGATAAAGGAAAATTACGAACTTTCATAAAATCATAAGCACTAGCCTCACCCAATTGTGCAAGAAACATGCTAATATGCTCCATGGTTGATTTACTATCATCACCACTAAATTTCTGAAAGTCAGGTATCCTCCACCCATCAGGTGCTTTCATGAAATCATAAGTAGAAGGGTACGGTTTTTAATAAGTATTCCTACTAGATTTAAGTAGCACTCCTAAACTACTCTCAAGAGATTTAGCCAATTCATCCTTAAACTGATTCAAAGCATCATCAAAATTGGTAGTAGGAGCATTAGGAGTAACATTAAATGTAGGAATTTGGCTAGGTGACTTCGGTGGGTTTAGTAAAACATTATGCCCCGCTGAAGCTCTATTTGTTGATGCTCCATAATCGGTTCGAAGAGCTCGACCTGAACTTTGTGCACCAACACCTGTACGTGTAGATGTGCTAGCACCAAGTTGACCAGCCTTATCGGTTTTAGATGCTGAAGGGGCCGATTGAAATTGGCTAGCGGAAGCATGAGAGGTTTGATTTTCATAAAAATTCAAAGGCATACCGAACTGAGGTTGCTGCATGGCACCCGATTGATCACAATCGGTTGTTTTGCCCTCTAACTTATCCATACGTGCTTGAAGTAGATTAGAAAGATGCTGAAGGTTATTACTATGCAGTTTTTGTTCATCTATCAACATCTGAGCAAAATTGGCATGAGTAGGATAAGCATCAGTATTTACCTCCTCGTCATACTTAACTTTTCCATTGCCGTTCTCCTCGGCGCCTGAAGATTCGGAAGCGGAAGCATCGTCGTAGGATGGTTCACGGAACTGAGTGACCTTGTCATGCCAATTCTTGGTGCAGCTCTCCAAGAAAGCCTTGACATCAGCATCGAGCTTGGCCTGAAGTTTTTGGCGCAACTCATCTGGAAGCTCATCCATGGATTGAGGAAAGATCATGTTAACCTCATTGAAGGGGCTGGTCTTGTCACCCTTGTCGGTGGCAGCACCATCGTTGCCTCCCATGTTGCTAGAAGATTGATTCTTGATTCGCTTCGCTGTCCCCAGCGGAGTCGCCAAAAAGTATGTTGACGTTGAGGATGACCCCAAATCAACACACCAGCAGGGTCTTGGACGCCCAAAGAGGTTGCACACAACCTGCAACGCAGCAAGAACGCGGCGTAATTGATCAAACCAATCTAAAGATCAGAGAGACCGATGTAGAGCTTGTTCTTGGCCGGAAAAGCTCCCAAACTTCTCTCGGGAAGACCCATCAGGGAGGAGCACGTGGAGGATCTCCTAGTACCAGCAAGGCCACCTAGGATGTCGCTGAATCTCGCCGGGAAACTCAATGAATAGCAAGAGGGGTTGAGAGAGAGGAATTAGGGCATAAGGAGTTGATAGATTGGTTTGTATGACGATTGGATAGATGAGCACTCAATCGGCCATGATCCTCTCATATATATAGAGGGGGGTGGTTTTATCCCAGTAGGAAACCTCTCCAAGCCTTATTTTCCAAGTTTTCCATGAGTTTGGAAAAGTTTGGATCGGAATCCAAAAGGCCAGATCCGAACCGGATTTTCTGTCAGGTATGTCGGAAGTCGAGTCGGAAGTCCCGACTTGGGTTGGAAGTCCCGACTTGGGTCGAAACTCCCGACAGTCGGAACTTCTGACTTTTGTCGGAACTCCCGACGTAGGGATAACCCTAGACACCCGGGCAGATTTCTTTAGACTTCCCAGAAGTCCCGACACACGTCGGAACTTCCGACAGTCGGAAGTCCCGACTTGGGTCGGAACTCCCAACAACGAGGCATCTTTACGAGGGCATAACTTCTTCATCCGGACTCCGAATTAGACATTCCATATATGTTTTTTGACCGTCTCGACGAGAGGAACGTATTGGTGAAGTCCGTTTCACATTTTGAAAACATCACAAAAATGAACATTTTTTGTTGTCAATAACTTCAATCCATATATGTTAGAGTGAAATAAAATAGAACTTAGTTTAATTCCATTTCAACAAATACGAATTAAGATGAATACATACTTATCCACCGGCTCCAAACAGAGACGACGTGTGCGCAGTCAGATGCTTGAACGCTACAAAACCTCGTGATCACTGACCGCAAGAACACATACCTACAAGCGCCCTGCCAGAGGTTTTGCCGTGGGCTTGGTGGCGGCCAACAGGACGGGGCAGGTGCGGTTCACTGGCACTGGATGAACACGTACGCGTGGACCTGCCGGATGAGGACACGCACGAGGCCAACCAATCCATGCTCGACGGGGACGAACAGAGGCAGAGGCGGAGGGCATCTCCCGACAGGCATTCTGACTTCCGAGCAAGTGGACGTGTGGTGTGCTCGCAAAACCAGGAGGCAGGTATGTCGACCCTATCCATTCTAGCAACTTGAACTAAAATTATTCAGGTTCAGGCTCCATGCTTCTTGCCGTAGCTGATATTTGTTCAGGGTTCAGACGTTGCCTCTTATTTTAGTTTTAGAGTCCACCGATCTGCTTCGATCCAGATTCGGAGACTAATACCAACTTACTGGACTGAAAAAATTCTTAGTTTCTGGCGGAGGACTTGCTAGCGCCCGGACATATGATTCAGGACATTAGCGTCGCATGTACCCGCGCAAGAGCAAGCGAGCGCCCCAGTAGTGTCTGGACTTGCAACCGAGCGCCCCAGCAACAGTCCCGTATTGCCCCGAATGTTACCGCGCCGCCGGACCACGCGCAGGAACTGCTCGCGCACCCTCCCGCTTCCCACACGTATCTCATGTGCAACACTCTAATTTACTTTTGAAATATTCAGATGCAGCACTTGCAACATACAAAAAAAGACAGATAAAACACTTAAAACATGCGTCTCAAACACTTGCAAAAACACTTGAAAACCATTGCAAACATACGCAATATCCAGATAAAGCACTTGCAACATATGTGTAAAACATATGCAATGTCCAGATAAACACACTTGCAACATACGTCCGAAAACAGTTGAAACATTGGGAATAGACACTTGCAACATATGTGTACAACCATTACAACATATGCAACATCCCGATCTACTTTTGCAACATCCATATAAAATATTTGTAACATACCTATGAAACATCTGAAACACTTTAAATATACGCTTGCAACATGCGTTTTTCACTCTTCTTCGTCCAGACGACGCAGAGCAGAACGGGGAACAGCCGGTTCCGGCCAGCCGGAGACCGAGGATGGTGGCACGGCCTGGTAGCGGCCAGTTGCGCTTGCGCCTGGCCCTGGCCCGGCTAGCGACGGCACCCTCTCCTGGCCGTCTGGCCACACACGGCGGCCGGCGCCAGCGCGGTGCAGAGGGAGGAAGGCAGCCACCGGCGCTCAATGCGGTGGAGATGGAGGATGGAGGCCACCGTTCGGACGGGCGTGGCGGAGAACGTTGCTGCGAGGTGGTCGCGGTGGACCACGCTGCGATGATGTGGACACTACTTTGAGTGGAGAGTGACTTTTTCTACGTAGAGACTATAGCCAAACGGAAGCAACACGAAGATGAGCGTAGGAGAAAAGTTGTTGGGCCGTTCAGAGTGTCGCAGCCCACGCCAACCTAAGTGTCTGGTCGATCGGATGCCCGGATGTAAGATTGTCTCCAACAATCCTTACCCAAAATACAAGACCCATTCCACGTTTGGGTAGCGTTACAGACAAATGGTTCAATCACCCTGTTCGCTGGTTGGTGCTGGTGCTGGTTTGGGCTGGCTGGTGCTAATTTTTTATGAGAGGAAAACACTGTTGGCTGGTTGAATAAGTCTGGCTGAAACCAACAAGCGAACAGGGTGAATATCTATTTTTGGTCTTCTCCAACAACAAGACCCAAAAGAGAACCTTACAAATGGGTGTTCAGGAAAGAGGATAATCAGATTTGAGTTATACCTCTCATGCCATCTAAAATTGGTCTTCCATATAGGTACTCTGTTGGAGGCTATAAGTATTTTAGATACACATTTTGGGTTTAGGTCTCCTGATTGGTCTCCTGCTAAAAACAGCCTAAGCATTTCCGTTCTGGTGGAGTTTATTTAGTTGCTCGGATCATTTTCTTACATTAGCTGGAATTGCATCTGTACCAGACAACATACTACTGGTTAGATTAGAGTCTTAGGCCTTGTAACAAGGATTTGGATTCCACATGTATACTGCAACCTCTATTCCAAATTCTAAGTCGTTTTTATCTTTTTTTTTATACATTTATTTTACTATGTATCTATATATAATAATATGTCTTGATACATAGTAAAATGAAAGAATAAAAGTCAAAACGACTTATAATTTGGAACGGATGGACTACCAAGTAGCTAGTATACAGTACAAATTTGGCAAATAAAAATGTGACGAATTTCATATCATTACAATAGCCGATAAGAAAGAGGGACATGATTATTCCTGCCACGTAAGATAATCAGAAGCAATTGATTAATTAAGCGTGCTACGACGAACAGCCACGCAGTTTGACTGTTTACGTGACAGGATTATTCATGCCACGTAAGATAATCGGAAGTTGGAACACACTCGAATGCATGACGAATCGGTATCCAAAATCCATCGTCCAGCAGCAGTTGACGCTAGTTGACCTTCCTGCAGTCGAGCCTGACCTCGCCCTGCGTCCCCGTGAGCGGGCTGATGGCGCCCATCCTCACCATCGCCCTGGCGAAGTCGGCAGCGAACATGCCGGCGTTGCCGCTGTACTTCTTCACCAGCGCGTCCTGCGAGCCGCCGCTGAAGAGCTCCTGGTCCGAGTGGAACAGCCCTTGCCTGCTCATCAGGTTCTGGTAGTAGGCGTTGTCGAACAAATCGGGGCTCTGCACGTCGATGGGGGCCAGCTCGGCGTCTCCGCCGGACTGCGGGCACGTCTGCTGCCGGAGCGACGCGAAGGTGGCGTTGATGTTGGCGTCGTTGTAGATGCGGTCGCGGAACGTGGCGCACCGGGCCTGCCCGATGGTGTGCGCGCCCGACAGCGCCGTCATGTCGCGCGCCGACAGGCCCTTGTTGCCGAACATGGTGACGAGGGTGGCGAGGCTGGACCCGGGCCCCGGGAGGTTGGCGTTCGCGTCGCTCTGGCTCGCCGTCCGCGCGTCCCGCCGGCCGAGGTACACCGTCCACGTCGGCCCGCCGAGCTGCATGCATTATATTGGAAGGTGGATGTGTCAGTCAGGTCTCGCGTCAGTAGCTTGTAAAGCAATGCATTGCGTCGTGCATGCTCTGCGACGTACGAGGTTGACAGCGTCCCGGGCAGCGAGGGCGAGGATGTCGGCGCAGGAGACGGTGGCGTTGCAGGACGCCTCCACCTGGGTCTTGATGGCGTCGATGACCTCGTACCCGCGCACCGAGTTGGCGTTAGGCCCGGCGTTCTTCTCGCCGGTGAAGGTCGCCGTGTCGTCCAGCATGATGGACGCGTCACATCCCTGCAACGTAACCGAACCAAGGAGCACGTACGCTCCCATCAGTAATGACGACGCTTTGGTACATGCTGTACAGCGCATGCATCGATCGGAAACAGGTGACAGATTAGAATGCAACAATTAATGTTGCATGCCCCCCACATTGACGAAGCAGTCGTGGAAGAACATGCGGAGGATGGAGGCGCCCATGCGCTTCTCCGCCGCCACGGCCGACGCCATCCCGGCCCGCACGATGCTCTGCACGTTCGGGCACTTCTTGCTGTAGAAGCTCGTCGACAGCCCGCCGCCGGCAGCAGCACCGCCGCCCAGCAGGGGAGCCAGCACCGCGGCCACCGTGAGCAAGCACCTTATCACTGATGATGCGCTCGCCGCCATGGCTAAAGCTAACCGTAACCGATCGACCAGTGGATGTGGATTGTGACTTGAAACTACAAGTAGTTACGCTGCAAGCTTGCTGCTGAGCAGCTAGCAGTGATGCAACCAGAAGATTATAGACCAATCAATGGTTGATCGATGAGAAGGAACAAGGACGGGGACGCGTATATATAGTGTGTTGTGGCTCCAGTTTGGTGCTTGCATTGCCTGTTCGGCCCATATGGGCGAGCGCCTGAACTCGCGCTGGATTGGTTGACTAATGCGCACGGCGTAGCCTGGCGAGAAGGTGACGGTGGGCAGATTAGGGTTGGACTGTAGTACTGCTGCAAACTAGTAAAAAAAAGCAAATTTGTCCTTAAAAATAAAATTTAATCAGAAGATCAGATCGGTGTAGAGGACGCTGGTTTGGTGCGCGCATGTTCCACAATCATCATCTTTGTGAAACTGCAACTTGCTACTCTGTGCAGTGCAGAGTACATCGGAGTAGTTGTCTGGTTGACGAGACTGAGGGTATATGCGCTGATGTAGTTGACTCTTGGACATGCAATCTCCTCATAGGCAAGGGGAGCGACCCGTATTGTTTAGTTTCGAGTGTGCAGTGCCAAATTCGCAATAAAGCGCTTTTCCTCCGTGTATAGAGTCTAGTAAATTGCAAATTTCAAGTGACTAATGATGTGACTGAGTGATGAGAAAAATCATAGTCAATTAAATAAATTTAAAAATTAACATAACTTGGCGAATTTTGCAAATGCTGCCTTCCTAGCATCTTTTTACTTACATAAGAATGGTTAATATCGAGTGGTGAGTAAATCTACTGTAACTGATCAGCTTGTCTAGTCAATTCTGTTTCGCTGAGTTGGTGCATCCCAAACCTTGAATACTATACTACTCCCATGTGCCTACGTTGCTAGACCAATTGATCAAGCCTCCAGGTGGCGTCCCTCGTGACCACAGTTTGAATCCTTGGTCAGACGAATATCTGGTCGGCGGTGTGAAAAAAAAAAACCTCACATGTCCCGTGTTTTCACTCGGGCTGGACGAGAAATCCTCTACCTTAAATTAAAATAGCTCGAGGGTGTCTACCTCGGTAGCCCGAGTTTTTTTTATACTACTCCTGTATACTAATAATCTTGATTCTTGAGCTTGAGTTAGGCATGAAACGAGCGCGAGCCAAGAGCGTGTAGGTACGTCCAAGCAGAACCGGACTTTGCACTTGTTCCGAGGCGATCGTAGCTCTCTGAAAGTCCTGATCCAGCCCATCAAGGCTTGCATTGCATATGATCTGTTTGGAACCTCAATCACGATTATGCTTACTAACCTAACCGTAGTAATATAATACTACAACGTTTTGCTGCTGCTGAGCTGTTAGTTTGGTACGCTTGTCAGTACTTAATAAGAGGGTATGCCCATGCAACTTTGCTCGCAAAAATACGGTGGCATATTTGCATTTGATATTTAGAGCACTTCCGATAGGGGATTTTTTTTATTTTTAATCCTATTTTAATCAATATTTTAATACTAATCCCAAAGAAAAAGTATTTGCAAAAGTGACCCTTTTGGTCGCGCCATCGCGGCTGGCGCGACAGTACCACGCTGGCGCGCCACATGCGTTGACGCGACAAGTCGAGCCACGGGGCGCTCATCGTTGACCGTACCTGGAGTGGCGGAGCGTGGGTCCCGCCCTATCGCGCTAGCGTCTCCGGCGCGACAGAGCTCGCGACAGGCCGACTCAGGTTTTGGCCGGCCCGGCCCATTTCTTTTCTCTCTGTTTCTCTCGCCGCGTCAAGCCTGTGCTTGAGAAGCCGCGCGACGCCGTCACCGCCACCGCCCCGCGAGCACGCCTGGGCCACCGCCACCGCGCCCTCCCCCCCCTCGGCCCCTCCCACTCCGACGACCCTCCCTCTCCCTCTCCCTCTCCATCTCCCTCCATTCCTGACGCGGCCAGGGAAGAGAAGGGGTGACCTGGGCACGGCCTAGGCGCCGGCGCCGCCGGCAGGCCTCCACCGCCACCCCGCCACCTCCGGCCATCCTCGCCGTCTTTGGTCGCCCCAGGGGAGTTGAGCGGTTGCTGCTGCTACTCCCTCTCTCTTCGTTACGCAGGCGTACCGTGCCAGGAGAGGCGGGCAGCTCGGCTGCTGCCCGGTGCTTTCCCGACGGCGGCAACACCGGTAGCGGCTTCCCCCAACGCTGGCCCTCACCTCCGTGGTCCGTGGAGTCATGTAAACAGCTAGGTTGATCTTCCCCCCTCGATTTCTTGATTTCTTGCCTCGTGAGTAGCATGACTAGGGTTAGAAAATTAGGGATGGTGTGAATGTTTTTATCGTTGCTTGTTAGCATTTGATGCGTAGATTAGGTTTAGGATATACTCTGCCTGTGGATTGGACGTAAGCTACGTGTTGCATGGACGTAGGTAGTTGATGCATGGTGGATTTAGATCGGTATGTTTGTTGCCTTTGTTGACATCACTGTGAAGTTTGCGTTATTGAAGTGTATTAGTGAATCGATATGATTTATTTCTAAAATGCGTAGTTCATGTGTTATTGATGTGTTGGTTCATATTTTGTAGATGGATCGGTTAGTGCGATTGTTTCATGGTGACAAAGTGAAAGGAAATGGGGAGTTCGAAAGCATGTAGGAACATGTTGAGTTCTTTAGTGGACTGTGTGAAGGAACGGGCACATTATGTGTTGATGTCTTTGTCATGTGAGGATGAATCGAAGAATTACATAGACGTTGTCAAGAGTAGCAGTGTTAGGTGCTTCGAAGTTGTTGTGGAGAATGGGTCTAGCCGAATTGTGGTGGCTGTGGATGATAGTGTGGATTTGGAGCCCGTAGAGAACCTTACCCAAGATCAAGAGTTGCAGACGGTTGTCATTAGAGAAGTTGATACAACATGTGAGCCAGGTGCCTTGAATGATGATTTCGATGAAGAAACGTTTGATGAGGACGATGGCAACAGAGATGGAACACATGATATGGACAACATATCCCAAGGATCGAAGGATGACGAAGTTGATGTTGGCTCCGCGGATGAAGATGACTTTACTTCAGGCCTAAGTACTTCGGATGATGTGTTAGAGGATGAGTATAGGTCTGAGCCTAGTAGCGAGGACGAAAGTGATTGTTGTGAGGGAGGGTTTGCAGACGCAATAGGAGTCCCAGCTGACGGATCATTGAGAATGGAGTACAATGACATCGAATTGAGGCAATTGAAGGCTATCCATGTGGAGGTACCCTCGGTACCAAATTTTATGGATATTAGTATGGTTGACCAGGCAATATGTGACACCGGTTTGATGTTATTGGCCGATGCGGTACCAGATAGTGAGGAGGTGGAGATTAAGAAGGGGATGGTATTTGATACATTGTAGCATCTAAAGTATTTCCTGATGGATTATGCTGTTAGGTTTCACAGTCCGTATTATGTGAGCCACTCCTACAAGAACAAGAGGTACACGGTGCTTTGCAAGAATGGATGTCAATGGGGTCTATGGGCTCGGAGGTAGAAAAAAGAAAAGTGAAAGATTCACAATGTGAGGCAACCTCACAATGTGCAAGCCCAAAACATAGCCCGTTACCTTGGTCGTCGTCTTGTTGGCATGGTTAGGGCCGATAGTGACACATCTATTTCAAGCATGATCGAGACCATATTTGGGTTCACTGGTTATAGAGTGAAGTACTCAAAAGCATGGCGGACAAAGCAGCATGCTATAGAGTTGCTATGGGGCGATTGGAAAGAGGTGTACAACCAAGTTCCTAGGATTCTAAGTGCTATGAAACAATTCAATCCTGGCCTTACGTGGTATCCTTATGTGGGTCGCATTGTCACGGATGTGGATGGCGTTCTGAAGCATGTTCTATAGAGAGTTTTTTGGTGTTTTGCTCAGTCGGTGGAGGCCTTCAAGCATTGTCATTCATTAGTACTTGTTGATGGTACGTTCCTGACAAGCAAGTATAGGGGGTGTATTGATGATTGCTGTTGGAGTGGACCCTGATAATCAACTTATCTCTTTAGCATTCACTTTAGCTAAGGGTGAGAATGACGATAGCTAGTATTGGTTCATGAAGCTTGTGAGACAGAATGTGCTCCGTTCATCTCGAAACATATGCATGATCTCAGATCAGCATCACGGTCTGTTGACAGCTGCGAAATAGCATGTGATGGACGCCCTCTTCTAGAGCATCGGTGGTGCATGAGGCACTTTGCTGCCAACATATGGCAGGGGCAGAAGAAAAAGGAGGTAGTGCAGAAGTTGAAGTCACTATGTGGGTGTTGAACCAAGGAAAAGTTTGAAGAGACGCTTGTGGAGTTATAGAAGGTTCTCAAAGCTAGGGCAAAG